AGAAGAAGCAAGAAGCAAGAGGGAGAGAGTATATTTTAATAAAATTCTCACTCATATTTGTAATTGTTTCATCAGCTTGATTATACCATGTGAAAAAAGCAGGTCGTTTTACGAACATGCGAAAAAAACATTTACCAATCCTCAAGGAATTAGACAGCTAAAATATTTCGGGAAACAAATTTTCCCAGAATAATCCCAATTGAGATCATGCAACATTGTAAATCTGAAAGATCCCTTTAGGTTGTAGACAAATGTGATGAACAATAATTGATTGAATTGCACGACATTCTGAATAAAAAAACTTGACTCAGTGGAAATTTTTAAATTCCATCACAAGTAATGAATGATTTACGAAACCAGAGGTCGTGAATGTCTGGACCGACACAATCGCGAGAATACAGTCACAGCAAAACTAACACTTTTCATAACTCAAGAACTCAACTCCACAAATCAAAACTCCAGTTACCGCTTCAATTGCTTCACAACATTTGGAAAAATGGACAGGCAGTCTTCAAAAAACAAAATCCACAAGATCTGGTTATTTGGCGCCAATGGGAACTTAAAATGACCATTTTGTCCCCACACCACTTGAAAGTCAAATGTTTGTGATCGGACACAACAACAATAGATACTTAGGGCGAATACTGAGAAGACTAAACCGCGAATTCCATGACCGGACACGTGCTGTTTCCATCATTCAAACTTAATTTCTGAAAGAGAAATAAACACAGTTATATCATAGCACAAATTCAAATACAAACGTAAATAAGGGACCACAAAGCCGCCAGTTCAAGGCATCAGGAGCAAAATATACAAATCAAGTAAGTATTATAGGTTATGCACAAGAATTTTACGCCAAAAGTAGAGTAAGGATTATCTTTATCTGAGACTGGCAAGCGCTAAGATATTCATTCCACTACTTTGATTTGATTATATTATTATAATTTAGAAATGCTACATCAAAAGGCAAAGGCAAAGTATACTTCAAAGATCTTATAGGGAGAATATCGGCATGGAAAGAGATTGAGATTGAAACTAAATATCATTACGAAGTGATATACTTCAACAAGTAAGTTCATCATTCATCAACTTTAAAGAAGAAATGCTCCCAAAATTCTTGCCACCAGCTCTAAATTCCTATCCCCGACGTCTAATGCAACCAATTGTGCATCAACTAAACATCATATAGGCATGTAAATTGCAATATTAAATAAATGTGGAATAAAAAAACATTTAGATACAGCATATATAATAGAAGAATCACCATATATCTAGTTAATACTATTTTCTCGGTAAGAACTTACTTTTCATGAAAATGTTTAAAAGCTAATATTAGGATGTTACATTTGTGAATGAGTGAATGAACAATAAGTATAAGGTAGAAGCCAATTAAGTACAACGTCTCATAATACTTTTACCATTACTCTACTTAATTGTAAGTCATTTTTCCCTATCTCACCATTCTCTATCGTCTCTCTCTACCAAAGCTAATATTCTTTTTTTTTTTTCGATTAACTACTACATTTCGTAATTTTTTTATCAATTAGTTTATTTACTTAATCACAAGTCATTTTGGCCCTATCTAACTGTTGGTATGGCTTATATATTGACAAAGGAAGGAGGATGCCTGCGAGCGAAGCGAGCGGAGCGGAGCGAGAATAATACTCCTCTGCCGTGGACGTATTTGAATTATCGAGAATAATAAGAGATCACCCCTCTGCCGTGGACGTAGGCACATTGCCGAACCACGTAAATCTTGTGTTGTTTACTTTTTCGTCTTTAATTCGTATTGTCATCGTTTCACAACACTAACTATTTTTTCTCATCTCTCTCTGCCAAATCTAATAATACTCCTTTTCCTCAATTAGTGGTAAAGAATGCAACGCCATCGTGTGAGGAATGGCTACTACTCAATTACTCCTATTGTCTCCAACGAAACCATACTTTGTGCCTTTCTTAAATTGACAGAGCGACCTGATTTAAGCTGTGCTCCGGTGACTGGCAGTGGTAGATACTACAGACTGAACACTAAGAGATAAATGTTTTCTCTTTTCCTTTTTTACTTATCATCTTTTTCCTTTTGTTTTCATTTTTCTGGCTCTGTGCCACCTGCCTAGTTATCGCACCGCTGATTTTCTGCTATTTCCTTTTTTTTTACCCTTTTATCTGCCCCTCGAATTTCATTTTCCGGAGATATCTTCCTTGGTCCAAAACTAACTTTCTAAATGTATTGATGCAGTTGTCTATTTAAACTGGAAATAGTTCTTTCATTTTTGGATTTGATGGTTAAACAGGAACTAATTTGCATTTGTGGGGGGTAGAATCCCTATTTTTTGAATATTGGCTCACTTCGCATCAATAAGACAAGGGCCTCACCTCACTCCTTGGCCAATAGGAGGCTGGCCTCCTCATCTCACAGCGCGACTTTTTTTATCACTAACTAGCAAAGAAAGAAAATGAAACTAAGATAGACTACTCTAAGATTAAAACTTCGCTCAGAGTTTGGAAGAACAGCACCAATCATCTTGTTTCTGCATTCTAATAAGATTTTTTTCCAGATATAATTTAGTAAGACATTTAAATCAGAAATGCTTTCCCCACACAGTAAACATAAAACACTCTCCCAAAGTATCAAAAGACAAGGTGGACCTAAAAGGTTTCACAACTTTTACGATCCACATTGCTAAACCCCCACACAACCCAGATGTTCTCAAGTTCAACATGCAATCTCCTTGCAGAAAGATGATAGACAAATGCACAAAATCAGAGCAAAACATATAAACTTACCAGAAGAAATATCCTGCCTCAAACTATTTTGAGATTATAGGAGCCACAAAGCTGTAACAGTGCGGCTTGATTAGCTTGATCAAGATTTTCAGTAATAATTCTTGGGTAAATTCCAGGTGAACGAGCAGAAAGATTCGCCAGAGATGCAACCAAGAATTGCTTAGGATCATTGATATCTCGCAGAGGGTCCTCTTCTTTCCTCCCAGCATTGTATAGCTGAACGAATGTGGCATTATAACCCACAGTTTCACCAAAATCCGGAACATCAGGCTCCTCCTCCAGTCTATCCTCCTCTGGCCTTGAAATAAGTGTAACAATGCTGTCGAGCATTTTACCCCAGAGACTTGAATCTGCTCCCGATAGGGTCTCACATAAAAGTCTAGTAGAGGCAACTGAACTCAACTTGAGCTCCATTGAACCTGTGATCATCTTGAGAGTGGGTATCCAGAATTGCTCAAGAATCGTGCGGAAAATATCAGGCTGAACAGCATTCATGGAGCCAACAAGGTTTTCTGGACCATGTTTCACCAAAAAGAGTGACATAAATATGACGAGAGACTTGGTGAACTTCACAGTCCTGTTAAGTTGCAGCCGTTTGAACAAAGCAACCCAGATATGGCTAATGTAGGGAGAGATCACATCATAACCAAGATGTTCGATCACAGTGTTAAGCACATAAAATCCTTGCTCGTCAGTACTTGGAGACGAGACTAACGTGTTGAATATTCCAAGAATACTAGACAACCGCCCCTGCTGGTTTAGTTCATTTGGTGCCTTTCTTAGGAAGGCCTGGAGCAGGCGAACAAGAGCAGGAACATTTGCAGACTTTTTCCAAGATTCAGGGAGGAGTAATATCGCGAAGATCTCCATATAATTCACTGGCAAAGGAGATCGATTCAAGTCAACAAGCTGTGCCAGAAGTTGGAATGCATACGGAAAGAACTCACTGACATCCCGAGCTAAAATCATCTGCACGCTGGGCAGCAGGCTAGTCTCAAAGGCTGAAATAACCGATGGATCCTGCTCACATGCCCGCCTGATAAGAAGAGCCACAGACTCGAAGAGATAATGGTTGAATACAGGATTCTTCGGGTTCTCACAGACCCTGTTAAGTACAGATGCCAGACCATTGATGCAAGGCAAAGCAACTTCACGCGAAACGTTAGCAACTCCAAGAACCCGCATGATGCACTTCATCACATACTGGTTCTCCTCAGATTCTTGCTTCTGCAAGGCATTGAAAAGATTGGTCATCAACACAAGAAGAAACGGATTAACGTCATCAGCTGTGTATCTTGGCCTTCCCCCTTCTTCCTTGACCAGAAGAAGCTTCTCAATGCAGCTAGCGGCATACGAATGCACCACATTCGACTCAGATGCAAGGAAGCGAACCACTTCAGGTAGCAGTGCCACCGCCACATGCTTGGGTATACCGTGCCTAAACATGGTGAAGAATTTCAATGCCCCAGCTTTCAACATGGGGAACCCATCCACATCCTGACTTCTCAACTCTGGAACGATTACTGTGCCGAAGAAGCTCTCAACATCAACAATGTCGGTCGTTATAAAGTTTCCACCAGCTCGTTTCATGGCAAGGCAAACAACCAAATAAATAGCACAGTCCTTGTGCTTCCAGTTTGCAGATGGATTCTCTGCAAACGAGGCCAGAAGGCCCTGTACCTGAATGGAGACCTTCTGGGTCACATTATCCTTATAATTCACAGCAATTCCCTTAAGGAGTTCACATGCAATCCTCCTACGGGTGTCTAGGTCACTGCCTTCCATATCCCTCCGTATGAACTCCACATAGTTCATCTCGAAAAGCTCTTCATCCTCATCCCTCAACATCACATTTGGGATCACGATACTCTGGATAATCTGTTGTAAAATATTGTCACTCGCAAACAAATTATGATGGACGCTTGTGCTAACAGTGTTCAAGAACTTGATACCAGTCACGGTCAGCCTCTCCCGGCTAGAATCACTGGAGGCAACCACCAAGAGACCCCATACTGCATCCACAAACCCACGCAAATACTTCTCAAATAATTCCTCCTCTTTCTCCATATAGAGGCTGATGTTCTCACAAACGGCAGCCCGCAACCCATCAACAGTAGCAAGCCCATCACCTCCACCTTCTTCTAAAGCAGGATATTTTACAGTCAAATATTTATTGAACTCGATCATCCATTCATCCATGTGATCCTCAAAAAATTCAGGAAGATCAATGAAATTGAGGGAAAAGAATATCCTACAACAAAGCCTCTGCGACTCTATACAACCCTTGAGAGCAATGGTATTAGGGGCCCCAGAACCCACAGTTTGGTCTATGAAATTCGCAGTCCTCTTAAATACTTCAAGCAATGGCTTGGCAAAGTTATCCAGACAGTACTTTAAATCTAACATCAGGTCATTAGACTTATACTGGTACCTGAATTTCTTAAATAAAGAGTTAACCGTCGATAAAACCCCATTAACGGAAGCATAGTTGTTAGCCTGGCTCAATTTATCCAGAGTCACCACCAATTCAGGTAAGAGAGTAGGCCAAGCTCTAGGGAAATCGTGCTTACCTATGATGGTTAACGCCTCACTTAGCTGAGCCTGGATTTTCGGCGGGGTCTTAACCATTAGGGTGACAATGAAAGCCTTAACCAGCTCCTTCTCTGCGTCGGGCACAGCTGTTTGAGCTGGGTCATTAGGCTGTAGGGCCCAATGGGCTTTGAGGTGATTCTTGAAGTTAACAGCGGCTGACTGGCGGACCTGCTCGTCCACGGACTGCTCGTCCAGGAGGCGGAGGACTGCAATGCCATAGTTGGGACGATCGGCAGCCTCCGCCAATGCCGCCTCCGCGCGGCGGCGGGGCTCCGGAAGCGGCGAAAGGGTATTCAGGAAACACTGGGAGAGGAATTGTAGGGTTTCGGTGTTCCAATCCATATTGCCCCCTCTGATTAACTGTTCGTGGTTTCGCTTGAGCTAGGGTTTTGGGGTCTTGCTGTTATGATCGGTGGCTAGAGAATGTCACGCACACGCTGATGACAAAGGTAAAAACGATAGAGAATGAAATTAGTATCTGCGCCGGAAAAAGAGATAGCAGACAAAAATGAAATTTTGAAAACGATGGTCGGTCGGTGATGGCAACAGGAAGAAGAAAAGGAAAATCAAAATTCAAACGGTACAAATTGTGTTCTAACTTTTGTCGAGGGTCTATATTGGGCCATTGCTGTCATTGGGTTTCGACTCTAAAGGGGCTTCCAAATGAGTATCTATCTATCTACTAGCCACTAGGTTTCCCTGAATCAACTAAAAGGTCCAATAAGGTGCTTCTTTCAGACCCGTTTAATATGAGAAAATTACCCTCCTCACCACTTATATTTTTGGGAAAATTTTATCCCTACACAGTGATTTACTCTTTATTGCAAGATTACTAACAAGAGTAATTTAATTTCACACATATCTAATGCATGCAATTAATTTATGATAATACCATATTTTGGTTACCCAACAAACACGGATCATTCTCCTTAAATCACGGGAAAGCAGCCGTTTTTTCTTTGGGAAAAAAATATAATGATAATGGTAAGTGTATATCCTATGGATATTCTTCAATTCAAATTTAAATCATATGTAGTTTGAAATTAAAAGTTTATTATTATCTGTAGGATATATTTGTAGTATATTTTCTGGGAGGTCTCATGTTTTTATATATTTTCTTTTCATTTTTTTGAAATCTAGATGGATCCACAAAATTTGCGTTATATACTGAATATATACTAAATATATACTGAATAATAAGTCATGATGTCGGTATATATTTTGTATATATACTGAATATATTCTATGTATGTGTATACCGAATATATACTAAATATATACTGCATATATTTAATATACATAAAATAAACCATCGAAAAATATTTGGTATATGTATTGTATATATTTACCGAAAATATACTGCAAATCCGACATTGCGAATGATATTAATTTATCCATACATAACGATTTCTCACTCTGCATACTCCAAATCATTATTACAGCAAAATCAAGCACCATTGTTGATGCAACATCCCTTCATTTTCCATTCAATTTTTTTCAACCCACATCATAAAATCTTAAAAACTACACATAAACTTCAAATAATGTCGGATTTGCCATACTGGAGGACCAGCGCCGGCGAACCGCTATCTCCGGTTAGGTGGTCGCCAGTCGGAGCTTAGGTCGCCTTACTCCCGGAGGGTATGCCAATTCATCGATCCGCCAACCCCGCACTCATCCAAGCCGTGGGTCGCCCGTAATCGACCGATATAAAAAACAGATAAAAATTTAAATGTAATGTTGTAGAAGAAGAAGAAGACAGAGGGAGAGAACAAGAAGAAGAAGAGAGAGAGAGAGAGAGAGAGAGAGAGAAAGAAAGAAAGTGTCGTAATAAAATTTTGGGAAGTTGAAAAGTCTTCCATTAATTACTCTAAAAATTGATTACAAATGTAACTTAATGATTTTATTGATATTGGTAGTTTTGCAAATAAAAAGGGCTCAACTAGTTGAATTGCTATTATTTATGATTTGGTTTCATATATGTAATAAAAAATTATATATAACGTAAACTGTGCAAATTTCTCTATATTTTTTTATAGACAAAATACAACCCCAAATTTTTAGTACATTTTTACACAACTGAATTACTTTTATGCAATTATTTTTGTTTACAAATATTTATATCTTATCAAGTCAAACTTTTTTAATTATAATATAACGTTGATATTTAATTAAAGAGATATTATGCCCAGCTTACTCAGCAATTTTCATCCCTCAAATCTTCACTAATAAAATTGATGGTCTGCGCCCACCGGAGCCCAAACCCCAGATGGCATCCATCATATCCAGCTTAATCGGTGGAGCGGCAGCAGATTCATTACGACTCCACCAAGCAATTGATGTGGACCGCAACTCGCTTTCGACGCAACTGTAAATTCCCTTTAATCTGCTCGCTTTCAACGCAACTCGCATCCAATTTTAAAACCTGAATCCTATAATCATTGATGCTTTACGGGCTCAATTTTGAGATCGACGTCAATTCAGGCTTTACTGTTAGCGAAGGATAACTCGTATTTTTTCATTTTTTTGGCCCGACCGTTAAAGAGTGTATCGGCAGTCAATTTTTCCTGATCTTATTGCTGTTCTTTTTGTTCCGTAATTTTTTATTTCTTATTTTTTCTCCATAGAGGGTGGTGGATTTTGTCAGCCACATGGTGTGGACTGGATGATGGAACTGTTCTTCAATGGCGAAAAAATGAAGGCGATTCTCTCCTCTGACACCATGGATATCCCCGAAGTCTTATAGCTCAAGGTGAAGGCTATTAGGCTAAGATGATTGAGGCTGAGGGCCCAGAAGCAAGCTCGCGCGCGACTTCAAGCACTAAACCTCGATTTCTGGCTCATCACCGACGTGGCCACTGGAGAGAAGAAGCTGAAGGTGGACACCTGATGCTTTGTACATGGAATAACCGAACATTTGGACAAAGTATGATCTCCCTATAGCATGATGGGATGTCTTTATTTTTATCCTGTAATTTGATAGGCGTGGCTGCAAACTTGTTTTCAACACCATTAAATATAAATGCCTCAGATGTACTGCACAGCTCAGCGGATGATGCCTTGGTTAGTCACGTTTCTTTTTCTGCTTCGTCTTCTTTACATTTTTTCTTTATATGCTATATATTTTTGGTATATATATTGTATATTTTTCGTATATATAATTTATAAGGTATGTTTGTGTTGGTAGTTTTATAACAACAAAAGTAGTCCTGTAATTATTGTTGCTCACTCTGATAAACACAACTCATAAACAACTTAGCATATTTAAACCTTGAGAACTCAACGGTAATTTCATTATATTTCTTAAACTCAATTCACATCAATGTAATAACTCAAGAAATTCAAACTTTCAATAATCTCTTGAAAATCCTCAAACTCAAGTCAAATCAAATAACCAAATCAAATGCAACATCATCAACCATTGAAATCAATCACAAGTCATGAGTACCAACGATAAAAACAAAATCACAAGTCATGAGTACCAAAAATCCATGAATCATACTCATCATCCAGCCTTAATCCTTGTCACCTCTTTCCTTCACTCTTCATTCGTCATCTTCTCCCCTTCTCTTCTTCATTAATTTTCTTTTTCTATCGACGTACGAAGCTACTCCCAGCAAGCATAAGCAACAATCCTTCACGCTTGGACGAGCCTTCTTCCGCGACAAACAAGAGCAGCACTTTTGTGGCCGAGACGAGTTTCTTCGAAGACCAAAAATCATATGCATAAGGGCGACTTTTCTCTTCTTTCCCGATGAATGACTTCAAGGAGTCGAGTTTGTGAGACGATCATTGACGTTCATTTATTTTTGGCATTCAACAATTCGAGGTGGGGATTTTTACGTTCTTAATCTTGTTAATCACTTAATATGAGTATAATATATATACATGTCACAGTGCCTACGGGCAATATTATTCATAGGATCGACGTGCCAATATACTAGATGCGCTAGAGTCACATGATGACACGTTCCATGGCCTTCGGGCAGAAGTATTACACGTTCCATGGCCTTTGGGCAGAAGTATTCATGTATATATGGCCGACGGGCAATCTACTAACGCACCTAGAGTCACGTGACAACATGTTCTAAAAAATTTAACCTACGGGTTACATGCTATGTTCTAAGGCGTGTGTACAATTATGGTGATGTCGGTTATTAACTTGATTAATTGCGCAGTTATCTCCCACTGAGCTGTTGATGCTCACCCCCTTCCTTTAACATTTTCAGGTTGACGATTTGGCTTCGAACACGGGAGTTGCGTGGTGGTCACATTTCATAATTATTTGGGAGAAAAATTGACCAATTCCTTTTCTTTAAATTCTTCTCTCTGTTATCTTTCTTTCCTTTTTAACTTGGTAAATATCTTAATTCAATCCCAATAAAATCATACCATAAATCTTATTATTTTAATAACCCTAACTACCTTAAGTTTTCTCCCAACTCTTTAATTTAATTTATTTTAATTATTATTAGAAAGAACAATTAGGATATTAATAAGATTAATAAAAAAATATAATAACTTAACGATTATATTTATTTTTAACGATAAAGATATTTATAATAATGATGACTTAAATAGCCATACTTAATATTAAAGATGAATCTATCATTATATAAAAAGAATAACCTTTTTATAAATTTAGAAAGTTTTTCCCGCCATAATCATTAAATATATCCTAATTATAGTAATAGTTGGACAATTGTAAATAAGCACAAAAAATGGCTCCTTAATTGCAGTGTTTCCTTAATTCTAGCTTGCACAATTAATCGGCGTGCAACAACAAATCTGATTGGCTGTTTTTTTAAAAAGAAACTTTCCCACAAAAATATCGAAATTTTTGTTTTACATCTAAATCTAATTTCTTTTTTTTTCCAACACAAAAATGGCTAAAAGTTTAGATATTCACGTGTACGAATTAGTTACATATTGGATTCTTATTATGAATGAATTATGAAATTAAATAAAACTTTTATTAAATAAAACTTTTTGGACTGCATCAATTTATATAAATTTATATAGATAGTAAAAAAAAAATATGACATTAATTAAAAACATTGTTTTTTAAAATTGATTCACAACATTCATCGAAAAAAACTGTACAATATTTTCTTGGTGTGTACAAATTAAGTTGCTAAATAATTGGAAAGAATCCCACCTTGCTACGAATTCGAATATCATGCAACTCTTCACAATATTTTGTCCGCATTTATCTGATGTAATACATTAATTAATTGGAAAGTAAGTTGCTAAATAATTGTAAAAAAAAAATTCTGACATTAATTAAAAACATTGTTTTTTAAAATTGATTCACAACATTCATCGAAAAAAAACTGTACAAT